AAAGGCTTCTTTGCTTGAAAAGAGTCAAAATCTCTCAAAATGGATTGGAGAGGGACGGTGGGCTCAGTGGCAGAGTGCAGAAGGTCCCCGGTTCAATCCCCGGCATCTCCAGTTGAAAGGACCAGGCAGCGGGTGATGGGAGAGACGTCCGCCGGAGACCCTGGAGAGCCGCTGCCAGTCTGAGCCAACACTGACCTTGAGGGTCTGGCTCAGTAGAAAGCCGTTTCATGTGTGTTCACTCCTTGGCTCGTATTTGGATGGGCGGCCTCCAAGGCATACCAGGGTCGTGATGCAGAGGCAGGCAATGGCAAATGTGTCTGAAATCGTCTCTTGCCTTAAAAACAAGTCTAGCTCATCACCTAGTGGTGCGTAACACTAAAAGAGCTAGAACTTCTGGATGCCAGACAATCTTAGGATCTCCCGGCTATTCTACACACGATGCCATACAATAACTAATTGTGTGTTCGTGGGAGTCTGAATGAAGTTTTGCAGAGGGTCCATGGGCCGCTCAGCGGTGGAGCATCTGCTTGGCACGCAGAAGGTCAATCCCGGACGTCTTCAGCTAAAAGGATCCAGGGGTATGTGACAGGAAAGACCCCAGCCTGAGACCCTGGAGAGCGGCTGCCAGTCTGAGTAGACAAGACTGACTATGATGGACCAAGCGTCTGGTTCACAGTACGGCAACGCCATGTGTTTACAGAAGGCTTGCCCTACCATAAGGATCATTTCAGGAGGGCAACCGGGCAGCCATGTTGGTGTGCAGCACAACAGTAAGGTGAGAGTCCAGTAGCAGCAGAGCCACTTTGGTGTACTGCTTAGGAGCGCGGACTCTAATCTGGGAGAGCCGGGTTTGATTCCCCACTCCTCCACATGCAGCCAGCTGGGTGAGCTTGGGTCAGTCACAAGTTCTCTCAGAGCTGTTCTCTCAGGAGCAAAGAGCTCTCTCAGCCCCGCCTACCTCACAGGGTGTCTGTTGCGGGGAGGGGAAGGGAGAGGAGACTGTAAGCCGCTCTGAGACTCTGAGTGAAAGGGGTGTGTGTGTATAAATCCAATCTCTTCTTCTTCACCTTGGAAACCAATAAACGAAACTGCCTTCTACTGAATCGGAGCACTGGTCCATCAAGGTCAGATTTCCAAGGGAAAAGCTTTCGAGAGTCAAAGCCTGCTGATGAAAGCTACCTTCGACTCTGGGAAGTTTATACCCTGGAAGTCTTGCTGGTCTCTCAGGACTCCAATCTTCTCCTGCCACAGGGTTGTTTTTGAGGTCGCCTCACAGGAAGGCCTGCTGAAACACCTCTAAGACACCAGGCCAGGCCTCCAAGACACCAGGCCAGACACAACACCTCCAAGACACCAGGCCAGGATGTCTTCCTGGCAGCTCGATTTCCCTCACTGGTGGTTTTACTGTGTTTGCTCAGTGCAACTGCACACAAACTAGGAAGAAGAAGAAGAGAAAGAAGAGGAGGAGGAGGAGGAGATTGGATTTATACCCCACCCTTCACTACCCGAAGGAGTCTTGGAGCGGCTTACAAACTCCTTTCCCTTCCGCTCCCCACAACAGGCACCCTGTGAGGCAGGTGGGGCTGAGAAAGCGCTGACAGAAACTGCCCTTGAGAGAACAGCTCTGAGA